CTATTCTTAGAAAAATTATACAATGCAATATGTGGCCATAGAACTCCCCACATAAATACCAATTAGACAAGAAGCAAGTATAACCTTCTAAACCTAATAGTTCAAATAAAGTAAATACTATAAACAATATATAGATCCTATAAAAAATGTATAAACTCAAAATCTAAATTCAATCCCTTCGGGGATAGGGTATTAACATCGAAAATCCACTTACCCTCTATCTTCGCTAGCTCTTTAACATTATTATCTCCCCTCCAATTCTTAAATTTCTTAAAAATAACAATATATGACAGTAGGGAGGAATCCCCACCATGTTTCTCAGTGAAGTGTGCCGATACACTATGTTTCATCATACTCAGCTTAAGAAGACATCCACATTCTTTCCTAGACACCTAATAAATGGGGGAATGAAGGTATTTGAGCGTCTAGTGATGGATGACGTGAGAAATTTAAATAATAATAGTAAGAGGAAATATAAAAGGGATAATTTGGATTTCTATCAAAGGAAAGCGTTAAAGGAACTTCAGACAAATAAAGAAATAATTATAAAACCCGCCGACAAAGGGGGTGGGGTGGTTATACAAAGTAGAGATCAATATATGAAGGAAATCTATAGGCAATTGGACGACCAAAGTACATATAAAGAACTAAAAAGTGACCCCATTGGACAGATTAAAAAAGAATATGCATCCCTTTTGGGCAGGGGTAGGGTACTGGGGATCCTAAATACGGACGAGTTCCAATATTTGGACTCTGTCATAGGTAGGACCCCGGTATTTTACACCCTGCCAAAGATACATAAAAGTGAGGAGAACCCGCCAGGCAGGCCTATAGTGTCAGGGGTGGGGTCGCTTTTGAGTAATTTGTCAGAATATATAGACAAACAACTACAACCCTTGGTGGTTGTACAACCATCCTACCTGCGTGACTCTATGTCACTGTTGGACCCCCTTAAAGAGATCAGATGGGATAATAATATGCTATTGGTGACTTGTGACGTTTCAAGTCTATATACAAGTATACCACACTTGTCTGGCTGTGAAGCAATTGAATATTTCCTTAAAAATCAGAGTGAATTGAAAGAATTGCAGGTTAAATTTATCCTAGACGGAATTCGACTTATCCTCTGTAATAACTACTTTTGGTTTGACCACAAATTTTTCTTGCAACTTAAGGGGACTGCGATGGGGACCAGGTTCGCGCCCAGCTACGCAAACTTATTTATGGCGCATTGGGAAAACCCGTTTTTAACGGAGGAAGGTAACTGGGCGCGTAACCTGGTCCTTTATCGTCGTTTTATAGACGATATTTTTTTCATCTGGCGCGGAGATGTAGAATCACTGCGGCCATTTTTGGAATTCTTGAACCTTCAGCATCCAGACATTAAATTGACAAGTGAGTATAGTGCATCCAATATTAACTTCCTGGACTTGAATATCTATGTAGACAATGAAGGGATTAAGACCAAGACTTTCTTTAAGAAGGTCGACGTCAATGGTTACATAGAAACGTCCAGTTGCCACTATGAATCCTGGTTACGAAGCATTCCTAAGGGCCAGTTCCTTAGGCTGTTTAGGAACTGTAGTGATGCTGAAGTGTTTGAGGAACAGGCAGTTTGCTTGAAGGACAGGTTTGTAGAGAAGAAATATGACGCCAAGGAATTGGATAGTTGTATTACTTCCATTAAGAAGATGGACCGAAGTAAGGTTCTGAAGAAAAGGATACCTAGGGAGGAGAAGAAGGGTGCAGACCAGGTACCAATTATTTTGAATTATAGTGAAGATGCCAAGCAAATTAAGCATATTATTAATAGACACTGGCGTATCCTTAAACTAGATCCGAATCTGAGGGAAATTATTGGTGATAGGCCACGTATTATTTATAGAGGGGCAAAAAACTTAAAACAACATCTAACTACAAGTTTTATTAGGGATAAAGGGGAAGAGAAAAACTTCTTTGGACTAGAAAAGGGTTTTTATCCCTGCAAATCCTGTCTAGCCTGTAAGAGAACAATATTTGATAAACATAAACAGACAGAATTTACCTCTCACTCTACTAATCGCACATTTAAAATTCATCAGGTTCTAACCTGTAATTCCACTAATGTCATATACCTCCTCTGGTGCCCATGTGGTCTGCAATACATTGGAATGACCACCAGGGCATTTAAAACCAGGGTTGCGGAGCATGTGGGTAATATCCAGAGGGGGTATATGAAACATAGTGTATCGGCACACTTCACTGAGAAACATGGTGGGGATTCCTCCCTACTGTCATATATTGTTATTTTTAAGAAATTTAAGAATTGGAGGGGAGATAATAATGTTAAAGAGCTAGCGAAGATAGAGGGTAAGTGGATTTTCGATGTTAATACCCTATCCCCGAAGGGATTGAATTTAGATTTTGAGTTTATACATTTTTTATAGGATCTATATATTGTTTATAGTATTTACTTTATTTGAACTATTAGGTTTAGAAGGTTATACTTGCTTCTTGTCTAATTGGTATTTATGTGGGGAGTTCTATGGCCACATATTGCATTGTATAATTTTTCTAAGAATAGATTATCTTATACATCCTTAAATTTCTCTCTAGATATAAAGAGATTGATGAGAGTTATCAAATATCTGTATTGTGTATGCTATATATAGATTATATCTTTAATTTGTGTTTTTTCTTATTCTATTATATTTTGCAAATATGGAGGCTAAGGTTGCTATGGGGACTTAATCATAACAATCTACATCCTGAACGCCGCGTTTCAGCGTGCGTTCCAGCCGGCCGAAAAACCGGAAGTGACGTCACCCGCGAAACCGGAAGTGACGCGACGCCGGTACGAAATTGGATCCAGGTGAATGGGACAGATAAGACTTATAAAAGAAGACTCAATAGGACATGAAGACAAGCACTGGAGGAAGGCTGTTGGCCGAAACGCGTCTGCTTCAATCTTCTGCATTTGTATTTGTTATTTTATGTGTATTTCTGTCACTCTGGGCTACTATACAGATAGGGGTAAGTGGAATTCCATTATTGTTTTATATATATCCTTGTCTGTTTTGGGTTCCACCCCCATAGTGCCCAGCAGTGTATACACTTTTTTATATATTTTTATAAATAAATATATTTTATATTTAACCTTTGGAGTCTCATCTATTTGGACCACCTGGATCGTTAGCCAGTTATTGGCACCCCTGAGCCTGCTATACAGAGCCTGGTACGGCTCTGGAGAATGTGAGTGAGAGTCACATACCTATTTATTACTTATTTATTATCATACAGTTTGCACTATGTTTTTTATGTTTTTTCTATTTTAGTTTATACCCCAATCAAGTTCTACGCTGTTTACATTACAGTCCAGTTCTATATTGGTAATATCACTTATTTTTGTTGTGATCACATTGGGGAGGTGTATATACTGGTATTTGTCTCTTTTTATTGTATTGTGCATTATTATTAGGCAACTTCCTTTCCTGTGGCAAAATGGGTCAAAAGAAGGACTTGACAGGCTCAGAAAAGTCAAAAATAGTGAGATATCTTGCAGAGGGATGCAGCACTCTTAAAATTGCAAAGCTTCTGAAGCGTGATCATCGAACAATCAAGCGTTTCATTCAAAATAGTCAACAGGGTCGCAAGAAGCGTGTGGAAAAACCAAGGCGCAAAATAACTGCCCATGAACTGAGAAAAGTCAAGCGTGCAGCTGCCACGATGCCACTTGCCACCAGTTTGGCCATATTTCAGAGCTGCAACATCACTGGAGTGCCCAAAAGCACAAGGTGTGCAATACTCAGAGACATGGCCAAGGTAAGAAAGGCTGAAAGACGACCACCACTGAACAAGACACACAAGCTGAAACGTCAAGACTGGGCCAAGAAATATCTCAAGACTGATTTTTCTAAGGTTTTATGGACTGATGAAATGAGAGTGAGTCTTGATGGGCCAGATGGATGGGCCCGTGGCTGGATTGGTAAAGGGCAGAGAGCTCCAGTCCGACTCAGACGCCAGCAAGGTGGAGGTGGAGTACTGGTTTGGGCTGGAATCATCAAAGATGAGCTTGTGGGGCCTTTTCGGGTTGAGGATGGAGTCAAGCTCAACTCCCAGTCCTACTGCCAGTTCCTGGAAGACACCTTCTTCAAGCAGTGGTACAGGAAGAAGTCTGCATCCTTCAAGAAAAACATGATTTTCATGCAGGACAATGCTCCATCACACGCGTCCAAGTACTCCACAGTGTGGCTGGCAAGAAAGGGTATAAAAGAAGAAAATCTAATGACATGGCCTCCTTGTTCACCTGATCTGAACCCCATTGAGAACCTGTGGTCCATCATCAAATGTGAGATTTACAAGGAGGGAAAACAGTACACCTCTCTGAACAGTGTCTGGGAGGCTGTGGTTGCTGCTGCACGCAATGTTGATGGTGAACAGATCAAAACACTGACAGAATCCATGGATGGCAGGCTTTTGAGTGTCCTTGCAAAGAAAGGTGGCTATATTGGTCAATGATTTGTTTTTGTTTTGTTTTTGAATGTCAGAAATGTATATTTGTGAATGTTGAGATGTTATATTGGTTTCACTGGTAATAATAAATAATTGAAATGGGTATATATTTGTTTTTTGTTAAGTTGCCTAATAATTATGCACAGTAATAGTCACCTGCACACACAGATATCCCCCTAACATAGCTATAACTAAAAACAAACTGAAAACTACTTCCAAAAATATTCAGCTTTGATATTAATGAGTTTTTTGGGTTCATTGAGAACATGGTTGTTGTTCAATAATAAAATTAATCCTCAAAAATACAACTTGCCTAATAATTCTGCACTCCCTGTATATACCTTCCTTGCACATGCGCTCTCGTACATACATTCCTTGCACATTGTAGCAGAGCTTCAATACCTAGCATAGGTATCTCCACTGGGCAGTCCTCGTAGCTAGAAAAAAAAACAGTATAAAATCCAAGACACCAATCCCCCAATAACTGGACAACAAACAGTTCTGGGAGTCAACTGAGTTTATTTGGTCACACATGGCTTTTATGCACTGTCATCTACAAGGGGTCTCTCACATGACATTACAAAGTTTTTCCTCCTAAGATCCTCTGTGCCTGAATGATAGTTGCGTTAGAAAACTATATAACTTAATTATCTCTCAGGTACAGAAAAATCTACAATAATTTCAAACATAAAAAAAAACACATTTTAATATTTCAGAACCGCACGAAAGTCACAGAATAGCTGGGATCTGAGTGCACACTTTGACGAAAAATCACTCAGATCCCTTCGGTGGTTCGGGAATGCCGATCATACATTATCATTCATGCCTTCCTTGCACATATGCTATCATACATACATACCTTCCTTGCAGATACATTATCATACATACACTCTTTTTAAATATGCTATCATACATATCATTCTTGCACATACGGTATCATACATACCATCCTTGCACATATAAGTTGAAGATGGTTACATGCTCAGTCCGGTGCAGAACTCGCCCCAGCTATGGCGATGCCAGTCCAACAGAAAGCTGCACTTCCCCACTTTGTAGACGTTATCTCTGAATAACTAGAAAACCCAAACAATCTGTCCATTTCATATTACAGGCAAAATGATTGAAAGGCTTAAAATATAATTTGCTCAGAGCGAAGGTTTTGCGTATTGTATCTCAGCTGGTTTTATCAGAGACATTACAGAAAACATCCCTGCGTCATCTATAAACAGTGCCGTCGATTTACGCCATCTGTAAACAGAGCAATTTACGCCATCTATAAAGAGAGCCACCGGATTTACGCCTTCTATAAACAGAGCCATCGATTTACGCCATCCATAAACAGAGCTATCAATTTACGCCATCTGTAAACAGAGCCATTGACTTATGCCTTCTATAAACAGAGCCATCGATTTACGCATCTATAAACAGAGCCGTCGATTTACGCCATCTATAAACAGAGGCGGTGATTTACGCCATCTATAAACAGAGGCGATGATTTACGTCATCTATAAACAGAGCCATCGATTTACGCCATCTATAAACAGAGCCATCGATTTACGCCATCTATAAACAGAGCAATTTACGCCATCTATAAACAGAGCCGTCGATTTACGCCATCTATAAACCGAGCAATTTACGCCATCTATAAACAGAGCAGTCGATTTACACCGTCTATAAATAGAGCAATTTACGCCATCTATAAACAGAGCAGTCGATTTACACCGTCTATAAATAGAGCAATTTACGCCATCTATAAACAGAGCAATTTACGCCATCTATAAACAGAGCAGTCGATTTACACCGTCTATAAATAGAGCAATTTACGCCATCTATAAACAGAGCCATCGATTTACGCCATCTATAAACAGAGCAATTTACGCCATCTATAAACAGAGCCGTCGATTTACGCCATCTATAAACCGAGCAATTTACGCCATCTATAAACCGAGCAATTTACGCCATCTATAAACAGAGCCGTCGATTTACGCCATCTATAAACCGAGCAATTTACGCCATCTATAAACAGAGCAGTCGATTTACGCCGTCTATAAATAGAGCAATTTACGCCATCTATAAACAGAGTCATCGATTTACGCCTTCTATAAACAGAGCCATCGATTTACGCCACCTATAAACAGAGGCGATGATTTATGCCATCTATAAACAGAGCAATTTACCACATCTATAAACAGAGCTGTCGATTCACGCCATCTTTAAACAGAGCCGTCGATTTACACCATCTATAAATAGAGCAATTTACGCCATCTATAAACAGAGCCATCGATTTATGCCTTCTATAAACAGAGCCATCGATTTCCGCCACCTATAAACAGAGGCGATGATTTACGCCATCTATAAACAGAGCAATTTACGACATCTATAAACAGAGCTGTCGATTCACGCCATCTATAAATAGAGCAATTTACGCCATCTATAAACAGAGCCATCGATTTACGCCATCTATAAACAGAGCCATCGATTTATGCCTTCTATAAACAGAGCCATCGATTTACGCCATCTATAAACAGAGCCATCGATTTATGCCTTCTATAAACAGAGCCATCGATTTACGCCATCTATAAACAGAGCCATCGATTTATGCCTTCTATAAACAGAGCCATCGATTTACGCCATCTATAAACAGAGCCATCGATTTACGAGCCATCTTTACGCCATCTATAAACAGAGCCATCGATTTATGCGAGCCATCGATTTACGCCATCTATAAACAGAGCCATCGATTTAATATATAATAAACAGAGCCATCGATTTACGCCATCTATAAACCCATCCAAAAATAACTATAAACATCCATCCCTTTCCCCCCCCCAAAGGGAACCCTTACATGCAAAAATCATGATATTAAAGAATGTATGACCTGCCATTCAAAGCAGGTTAGATATTTATTCAGTTGTCCTTGTGGACTACAATATGTGGGACAAACGAAAAGGAACTTAAAAATCAGACTTAACGAACATATATACAATATTAAAAGAAGGTTTGAAAACACTCATCCAAACTTTTTTTTTGGAGCATCATGCTAGTAATCCAGGAGGAATAAACTTTTGTGGAATTGAAAAAGTTAATATACCTTGGAGAGGTATATAGATTTACGATTCCACTTATCTTTACATTTGAACTAAAAGAGATTTTAAGGAAAAACATTTTTGTGGATAGCAGCTGTTTTATTTTCATTTGTCATTTTTAAATATTGTATACTTTTATAAGAATTGCGCTCTCCTAGTGTGTTTATATTTATAAACAGTTTACGCCACCTATAAACAGAGTCAGTGATTTAAGCCAACTATAAACAGAGCCGTCGATTTACGCCATCTATAAAACCAAAGGTGCCACACCGAACCCGGAAGTAGCTGCACTTGTACAGAGAGTCTGCGATCAGCTGGACATATAGTAAGATAGAACTAAGACGGTTTATCCACGAACTACCAGGACTATCTGATCTACTTCAATACAGTACCAGTTATTTATTTTATATTTGTCTATTTGGAATAAAGCAACATTGTTTTCTGCTTCACAATTTCGGCTGAGAGGGAGTTTGTGCATCACACTACAATTTGGATCCCATGTCCTCAAGGGGCTGATCCTCTCGGTGCCTGATAGTTTGGAGTGTGTGACGAAGTGCCCTTCGCCACTTGGTCCTGGAGAGGCCTACTTGCCAGCCTCCTCCCCTGTGACTATGACTCTTTCATGTATCTGGCTTTAAAGCCCCTATTCTACCTTCAGACAGACTATTTATGTAGGCTGCTTTATTTCTCTTATGTTTTAGTCACCCTGTACCCATTATAGGTGCAGGGTGTGTGTAATGTAATTGTTTATAGTGTGTGTGTACTGTGTAATGTATTGCCTGCTCTCTTGTATTGCTGAGGTTTGCTACCAACTAGGTGGGTTTGGCTATGGAGCTTGTCTAGTGCCCTCTGTTGGTAGCAACAGCAATATGCACTACCTGAATTGCAAGACTGGTTCATTTGCATATTCGGGTAGATTTGCATATTGCTAATTCTGCAGGCAGGTGAGATATTTACTGTTAAATATTGTCTCCCCCCACCCCTTTAAACATGTGCCATTGTGTTGTGATAAGTCACTGTGTGTTGCTTGATATTGTTTGACTGTTTGTAATTTTATTGAGGTTTCACAACAATGTTATTGTGGTTACCCTATTGGCTGGTCCCAAGGGAAATAAAGGTTTTGACAGTTCTTCTTGATCCCTCTAAACGTAGCCTTGTCTCGTTATTGGAGGGAGCTGTTATAATCACACTGGGGATTGCTATGCTCTGCATGCTCCCCTGAGCTTGAGTCACTTAGCTCTTTTAAGAGCTTGTTCCTGACACGCTCTCCTTGGAGGAGGGGTCTTCACCACACAGTCCTGGAGGACAGAAGCTGATCCAGGGTGGAAGGAAGACGGCGAGACTCCAGTCAAGATACGGCGGTTGCGGAGTCTGCGGTGGTTGTGGTGTCTGCTGCAGTGCTTGGGAGTCCTCAGGAAGCGCTAGGAGCATCCATCAACAGAGGGTACTCAGTCGGAGTACAAGGAGCTCCGTTACAGAGTGGTACTTCAACCACTCCACAATTGTGAGTTCAACCTTTTTCCTCAGACCTTAATACTATTTATTTACAATATTGTGCTAGGTTTATGTTCTTATGTATTTTAGATCAAGTTGCTCCTGAACAACAGTGCAAGTGCAAGTATATGTTTTATTTGTTACAGATTTTGACTTGACCACATTGTGTCTTTTTTCACTTGTTGGCTATATTTATATTTTTAAATACACTATTCTACGTATATTGGTGGAAACCTGCACAATTTACACACACTGTTTACGGTTTTATCCTTAGTCGCTATTTCTAGTTTTGCGCACCTACACCTTTGATTTTATATATTCGTATCTTGGAGGTTGTATATATCAGAACTCCTTGTAGGTTGCTGCATTATCCAAATACCTGTTTATAGCAATATGTTTTCTAGTTCCTGTTGCGCCAATTTATCCGCTGGGGAGATCTGATCCCAGCTCAATAACTCCTGGGAACGGTAGCATCCTTTTCTGGAAATAATAAATAGCCTGGAACCACGAATCCACAGAACTGCCAAAATCATTATCCTCCTCCATGGCCCTCCACAACAGGCTGGGGCCATCATAGCCCTCCCCCTCCAGTTGCACGCGATCTGCTAACCAAGTGTCTCGCTGGACTGAATACCACCATAGTGCCCAGTACGAGTTGTCTAACCTCATCGCTTTCTGGACCAGGAACTTAAGGTGCCTTACCCACTCCGTCAAGGGTTGCTCTCCCAGGATCAGCATCCGTTGGCTCACTTGTTCCTGCCAGTGGTGCGCTGTACTTAAAAGCTTCTCTTTCCACCGAAGCTGTGCTACCTCCATGAGCTCCTGCCAGAGTTCTCGCATTACATATTCTCTCCAGGACACCTTGTCTAGCTCCAACTCCTGAGTTCCTCTTTAGACCGAGACGCTACTGGGCTCCTCACTGCATTTATGGTTCGGGATCCATTGGGGAGAAAATTCCCGCCACATACCACCAATGTAACGGATACCCTATATTCCGGCTGAGTATATCTGTTATAAGTCTCCCAAATCCCAAGTGATGCAGTCATAATAGCTCCCAGTTCCCCAAACATCAGCCTAGACTTGATGAAGGGTAAAATGAATCTGTTTAATCCAGGCTCAATGGCCTGCTTTTATACAGTACAGGGACACCGTAAACACACCAATGACACTCCCACAGAACACCCATAAACACGCCTCCAAATTTCAGGAGTTCCATGCGAATGAAATACTGAATGGCACTCTCCTGACGTGTGTGGGGAAGGAGCAGGCGTTTGTCCAAGTTCAGCGGAGTTCAGGAGTTTCAGTGTCTGATTTTAATTCCACGCAATCAATGCCCAACCACAACTGCCTGCATTCTTGTGAACAAGATGGTCGCCACACAGTTCCCATGCGTTCGTGCATGAACACAATGGTTAATATAATTATCACAGGCAGAGAAATACAGTATTATAAAACATCACAGGGACCCCAAAACATGCAATAACCCCATAAAGTATAAAAGTACCCCATAAGTATATCCTTGGAACCGGGGGATCTGGGTGAACCACATATCCAAAATTCACCCAGATCCGTTCAGTACTTTGGAAGATACAGTTTAATGCAGATTCCGCAGAACATATACAGGCTAAATGAAAAATAATTACTGTATAATGTGTCCCCTGTTGTATAGTTAAAAACTACTGCACGATGTCTTTGTGCACCAAATACCGGCGAGATGGCACCGTGTAGAAAAGTCCACACAGTGTCTGAGTTAAAATGGCCGCCATCCATTGTTCTCACCATGTGCCTCTGATACATGAAATGGTGGCCACCCAGTAACTCCACAGTATGTCCCCCAGATGGTTCTTAAAGGGCCAGCAGCAGTATAACAAAATTGTCAGGGTTTCTTTGCTGTTTTAAACAGCCACCCTTCCTTTTTCAGTGTCTGAGGTTTTCAGCTGTAATTAACGATCAGCTCCTTCAGTATGTTGCCACGGTTACTCACCTGAGAATAGTAATCAACCCTGCTGCTAATCAGTTCAACCTATTTAAGCAGCAAATCCCAGTACCTCCTTGCCCTTGCATGGTTTCCTGTTCCCCAGAAGTCTCCTTGTTCCTGTTTGCTCCTGGTTCCTGACTCCGCTGCTCTCCGTTCTCCTGATCCTGGCTCGTCTGACTACCCGCTCTGGTGACTGACCCCTGCTTGCCTCCTGGAATTTGCTTTTGGTTATTTCTTTGTTATTTATTAATAAAGGTGTTTTTGCATCTAGTTCTGTCTCTGTCTGGTTCCTGGTCCCTAACAAAAATCAAGTATGCCCACATCAGTTCCTAGAAGGGCAATACATCCCAGGGCCATAGTCGCAGGGCAGGAGGCTGGCAAATAGGCCCCTCCAAAAAACAGTGGCGAGGTTACTTTCGCCACAGAGTGCAACTGCCATGATAAAAAAAAACCTTAGTGATGTACCCTATAACCTCCTGGGAACAGAGGGGAAAAAATGAAAAGAAAGAGGAAGATCCCAGCCTATCACATGACATATCGCTAGAAAGCTCAGGATGTCCTCTTTACAATACAGCATGGATTGAATGAGTAGCTCATAAGAATAAAAGTAGATGCATGTAAATGAAATGTCCAGGACAGAGGACACAAGTTAATGGGCTGGGTCTCAGGAGGATTTGCAATGTTTTATTACTGCAGCAGCAATCACATGGAAATGCAGCCAACAGTATTAATTACGTGTCTAGCATTGGCGAGGTCCCTACTGGAATGTCTGGGGACCGTTCTTATCTTAGCTCGAGGACAGTCTGCAGACAGATCACACTATTTTGAGGAAAGCCCAGTAACATTTCAGAACATCTCAGGCTGACATTAAACCTAAAATAACATACCTGAATGTCTGGGGAGAGAGGTTAAAGCCGCCAGAGTACACTCCAGCCATTCTAACAATTTGAACTATATTAAGAGGCCATGGTCTGTTTCATTGTTATATTGTTTCTGAACATTTTACAAGCGAATCAAGGTCCCAGGCAGCCCCAATTTAGTGCCCTCTGACGGAATAACTAACACGTCTTACACAACACCAAATTGTCCCATAATTAATAATGGACAGGAACAGGCTGCCAGCATCTCTGATTCACTGTTAAACCAACTCCAAAATGTGTCCACAATGAAATAGAAATGACACTTTGGGGATTAGGCACCATTGCTATTTTGAGTTGAAGAGCCCAGAATGCCTCTTTAATAGACATATAGACTGCCCAAGGATAGTCTGGTAACAATGAATATCTGGGGACAAATATTAAAACAACCAGCCGTTATCCTAAGACAGAGATGAAAGTCTGAAAATTCATCAAACAAGTTTCTTTCCAAGTTGAAGATTTTTATTTTGTTTTCAATAAAGAAAAATAAAAGCAAACATTTCATGCACAAATGAAAGATGCAATATACAATAAGCGTCTAAGTATTATTATTTTTTTACATCAAACTGGTAACAGAAACAAGGCATACATAATGGTTAATAGAGATCACCCTTGAAATAAAAGGATTCGTTATTTACAATGAAGATACAATAATACACTAATGTCCGTCTCTTGGTTTCACATTGACTGGGGAGATGGGTTCTCATGCCAGGATGAGATTTTAGGCAGGTAAGTTGATAGATGTTCCTCATGTCTGAACGCATGGTTAAAGTCCTGGTCACTGTGATCAGCAACCCTTTGCTATCACATCAGGATCTAAGAAGGGCAACTAACAAAGGAACCAGGAAAGGATATTGCAAAGCAAGCTGGCCCTGCAGATTCCAATGTACAAAGTGTACAGCAAGGTGTACAGAGGAGGTTCTAGAATTAGTTGCCATGTGTCAGCTCCTGCTTTATTGATCCTTTATCGGACAACATAAACAATCACGCACAAGAAGAGTGGAGGGAGAGACCTGACACCTCCTCTCCCTGCATATCGTGTGAGTCCTCATGGGCGCTCTGTGCACAGATAGCTTCTGTGAATGGGTCAGAGAAAGTGAATGATGCTGGATGCATGGGTAGAGACTTACTCTTTAACTGATCGTCTCCGGTATTCATTCATACTGACTCACCTCCAACAAGTCCCAACCAGTCACTTACAGACCTTGGTAAAAGATAGGGTGCAAGAAACAGCCCTTAATATTGGGGCCATGGGGATAGACAAAGCACTGTCCCCTACATTGTTACTATTTTCCATTTGTGATGATATGAAAAACAAAACAAGCAGAAGGAATTCGCTTTATTAATACCTTGAATGAAAGATATCTGAGAGGACTTAATTAAGAACAGAGGCAGGAACAAGCCAAACACAGAACAAGGTCTTCATGCTCTTCTTAGACACCAGTCATTCATCAAGGGCTTTCCACAGCTCATCTTATGGACCATAACATCTTTAATATCCAAAGCCTGGAAATCAATGCAGGTATCCATGCAACATATAGTAAAATAAGCATTAAAGTCTGAATCAGGAACTGGGAAGGTAGTTACACAAAACGTTTTCTATTACGGTAACATCATCCATAGCTTCTCTTCTCCAGTTCTATGCGCCAAAAAGTACTTAGTTCATCATTCATTCCGACAGCAGAATTCAATCTGAAATGTGTTTAAAAGGCAAACAAAGGACAACTTTCCACATTTTGTATCTTATCCTGAACAGAAAATGTAATTTTACTGAATCATTTACAACGTTAC